TAACTAACTAACTAACTAACTAACTAACTAACTAACTAACTAACTAATAACACAGGAATGGGTGTTGCCAATCCCATTAAACAGTGCTTTTCCATGCACATTAGCTATCTTACTAACTTTGAATGGAAAACTCTGAATATCTGAAGTGAGACTTGAGATTTGTGTAAACCTGGTCTGTACCAGGAAAGTGGAGGAAAGTAAAACCTGATAAGGCAACAGGGCTTTGTGGATAGAGTAACTAACAGATTCTTTAAGTCAGTCAAAGTGCTGAGAAAGATGAGGGTCTAGAAGCCAGATACGATTTCCCATCTATTTTAAGACACACGCCGCGCTTCTTTCGACAGAAATCAAGCCTTTTAAGGAAGGTGAGGAGAACACACCTCGTGGGCTGCGTTAAAGGGATGCTCAGCAGCTGCGGAGTCTCACCCTGAAGGTGGCTGCAGGATTGTGTGAACTGATGGTGGCAATACCGGCTCCCTCCGTAAGGAAAGATGCTATCTCTCTCCGGGGAGTTACATGACTATGGCACCACATGAAACAAGAAACCGCAACAGCCACCGCCAGCCCAGTCCAGCTCAATATTCAGATTAAACAAGAGCCATCATTTTTTTTTTCCCTGGGAGCACCCTTCTAGATCTTCTTCAAGTGCCTGAAACAAAAATTCTGGGATGATCTGCAAGCCAAGAGGGCGGCTGCATCATTCGTGGAGGAGAAAAATAATCGATACTCAAAGACGAGAAAAAAACTTATTATATACGTACTTCATGGGGAAGGGGGAGGGGAGCGGGCATTTGGCAAGACATCAATATCGCCTACGAGGCAGTCTAGAAAAGGATAAGGTCTCAGTTTCCTTCCAAATCGTCAGCATTTGACAGGTGCCAATCACACAACCCTGCACCCTATCCGCACCCAGGCTATACCAAGCGAACCCTGCATCTTCTAGTGGAAGAGTCTCGAAGAGAAAACAGGAGGTATATCTAAAGTTGCCGCGTGAATGTGTCTGGTGAGGACCAGGCAGGTCTGGGTCATCTGAGAGCCATGGATTGGGGGTGGAGCCCTAGGACGGGCCTTACTCTGGTCCCTATAACCTTAAAGCTCTGGGCCTCCGGCAGCTCCTTCTCCGACCCGCGGGCTTCTCAGGGGTTCTCATCGTGGTCGGGGGCGGGAAGACACCTGCTTTGCTTCCTTCATCAACGAAGATCCGCTCGGCTCCCCGCTGACACCATACCGTCCACCCCCACCACAGCCCCAGCTTTCAGTACCTCCGTGACGAAGGGGAACTCCCAAGCCCAACTAGGGGCGAGACGGTTAAGCCGCGTCCTTCAGGTGTCAGTCCGGACTCGTGTGAAACCACAATTCCCAGAGTGCCTCGGTCCATGAGGCAAGGCCACAGATAAATTGGCTCCAGAGAGTGGAACGTACAACTGGGAAACCAGTCTCTGGAGCCTTTACCGGATGTGTTTAAATGCCCGAAACCCCACTCCTGCACAACCCGACCATTACCTCCAAGCCCTGGAGACCGCGTCCGAAGGTGCGCCCGCTCCCGAGGCATTTTGGGAATTGTAGTCCAGATGCCAGGTTGCACCGAACTACCGTTCCCAGAGTGCTCGACGGCCAGGCGATAGCAACGTTCTCTTCCAAGTATCTCTTCCCCGAGTTCCTCTTCTCTGGTCCCCTTCTTGCCATCGACTTCTTTCGCTCTGTGGCTACAGCTGGTGTCCCAGGGACTGCCCTGAGTAGGGGCAGCGCTGCCCTGAGAAGCACTTCCGGTGTCAGGTCACTTCCGGGTGGGTGGTCGGAGCCGACGGGCGCGCGCGCGGGGGAGGGGCGGGCTCAGCGCGGCGCTCGGGGATCAGCTGGCGGGCGGGCGCCGAAGCGGCCCCGGCTCTGCGGCAGCGCCGCCTCCTCCGCGTCGCAGGCCGGCGGCCGTGGCCATGTCGCGGGGCTGGTAGCTGGGCTCGCCGCCGAGCCGCCGCTAGTGGGTGTCCGGGGCCCGGGGCGGGGGTCCGGGCTGGTAGCCGGTGCGTTTCCAGGGTTTTCCTGAAGAAAATGCACGCAGCGTTTCCACTAGATGACGGCCTTTGCTTCCCCTAGGACCCGGCAGTTGGGTTGTGGAGTGTGTTACTGATTCATCCTCTCTCTGCCTCTGTCATCACAGGTTTAAACTTAAACGATCGCTCTCGGAGGAGGAGGGGACCCGCCGCGCGATTGACAGTATATTCCTGCAGGCGCCGTCCCTCCGCTCCCACCCCGCGGCCGGATTCCCGTGTCTCTGCTCCGGGCTGAAACCCGAGAAGAAATCCTTAAATCTCTTTCTTTACAACAAATACGAATCGAGAAATCATCGGCGTTTTGCCTTGGCGTTTCCTATTGGAAAGATGAAGAAGTTTTTCGACTCCAGGCGGGAGCAGGGCAGCTCTGGCCTGGGTTCAGGCTCCAGCGGAGGAGGGGGCAGCAGCTCAGGCCTGGGCAGCGGCTACATCGGAAGGGTCTTCGGCATCGGGAGGCAGCAGGTCACCGTGGACGAGGTGCTGGCGGAAGGTACGTTGGGAAGCCAGTGCGCGGTGAATTCGGGTGCTGATGTGGCAGAACTCTGGTTTCTGCTTGTATGAATGGGTTTTGACCAACTGACCCTCCCTTCCCCCCTGCACTTTCCCTGTGAGTCATTGTCCTTGAGAGATTTAAAACTCAGACTGGGAATTGACAGGGCTTGGGGGGCGGTATTGCCCAAGTAGTTTATCTCAGTGGCCTTTTATTTTAAGAGTGGGGGGTTGCGTGGAGAGACCTCCTCTTTTGACTGAATTATGCAGATCAGATGGGAAAAATGTATGTGTGGAGTACAAACGACATCAAATGCAGGATGGTGGTCTTGCCATTTCCCTGAAACTTTAGATTCTGATTCGGAGGCTGAAGGGTGAGGATGGGGAGAGATCTTAAAAGGAGAGAGGGGTTTCCTCTCACCCAACTTTCCCATTTCTGTAAGTAGATATCCAAAGAGGATTTTTCTGGGGCTGGGAATGCATTTTTTTGGGGTATGTGTTTGTGTTTGTGTGCGTGTGCGTGTGCGTGTGTGTGTGTGTGTGTGTTTTAGATAGGTTTGTTTCTTCACCCATCTGTAATGAGGTTCCCAGGATGTAGCTAAGATAAAATCATAAGAAGTGAATGAGATTGTTTTGAACTCGGTCGCCTAGGCCCCCTTTCTCCTGTCTTAGTTTCTATTAAGAATTACTCAAGAGTGGCTCTGGTTTAGTTTTCTCTCAGCTGGAGAGGGTGCTGTGTGGATTCTCTAGGTCTGTGTTCATCTGTCTATCTTTTCTCATGCAGATACATATTTTTATGCTTCGGGCTTTAGGGAAATCTTTTGAGTGTCCCTTTGGTAACCTTAACCTCGACCTTCATAATTATGCCAGACTGATACTTTTCACAGCTCATTGCCTGCTTAGTGTGCTTTTATTTTTAATAAAAACAGCAATTTCCTTGGCATGAAGCAATTCAAACTAATTGGGTAGGGCCAGCCTGCTGTAGGTTGTGTTACGGACTGCCAAGGGTTGGGTATGAGGGAGGCCTCAGTGAAGGCAACATGGTGGCAGGCAATAGTTTATTAGCTAGGGAAGAAAGAACTCAAAGGGAGGCTTTTGCAAGCTGTGGTTGAAGCGAGGATCCCTACCTGGGCCTAGGAAATGCCTGTCATGGTGAGTGTTGTAGGGTGGTGGTGGGTGGAAAGAGGGAGAAGCAGTGTTTGACTCAGTTTGTGTGCGCACTGGATTCTGCAGGGCCCAGTTTCTGAGGCTAGGATTGATGCTTACCTTAAAAAGCACGGTTTTGAAGAGCTGTCTGATAATTCGTTTTCTTGTGGAATTACTGCGTTTTTTTCATTCTTAGCACTGCTCCAAGTGGACTTAACCTGGGCCTGAGTCACCATCCTTTCTGGACCTTTCCTTGAGGACTCCGGTGCAGGGTGGGAGATGCTCCTGTGTCTGCTGCCAGATCTGTACCTTGGAATCTGAGCTCACTCTTATCCTGTAGCCAAAGTCCTTGACTGCAGTGGGTGGAGTGAGAGTGAGCCCAGGAGGATGAGGGGCACAGCGCTCTCTCCTCCCCTCCAGTGGCCTCTGCGGCCTCGGAGCCCAGGAGGATGAGGGGCACAGCGCTCTCTCCTCCCCTCCAGTGGCCTCTGCGGCCTCGGAGCCCAGGAGGATGAGGGGCACAGGGCTCTCCTCCCTCCAATGGCCTCTCGGAGCCCAGGAGCATTTTTTCCAACTAGGATGTTGCTTCCGTATGTGTTGCCCTAAGATTTGCCTATTCTCTGAGTCTTGGAAGAGTGATGGGAAAGAGAAAACAAAATTGGCCTTTGTTTTCTAGGCTGCCCTGGAATTCATCCTAAGAGCTGCACATTGTGCATTTTGATATTTTAAAAAGTAGAATTTAGGGCTTGTGACTAGTGCATTCATTCATTTACTCATTCAACCAATGGTCACAGAGTGTTTATGATGTGGTGGGTTTCTGTCCTAGGCTCTGGGGACATGATGCTAAACTAGACGATAAAGTATCAGCTGTTTTAAGACATGGAAAATGGACAGTTAGTGATAGGGTCATTAGTGTCACCATGAAAGGAAGGTAGGCTTCTTGGTGGTAGAGAGCCAAGAACCATTTTATGGAATGAGCCAGTGTGGTGGGCTGTGCATGAGAGTAGCATTGAAAATTTAGTCTGGCAAATTCTTTGGCTGTGATAGAGCTTGAATTGTGGCCTTTGAAGTACATGGATATGTAGGAGTCAGTATTTATGCGGCACCTACTGAATTCAAAGACACTACTAAGTCTTGAAAGGAATGAGAGATCCAAACTCTTGATGCCTGCCTTTATTTTAACCAGGCAGTAAATTCCCTCGAGGTGCTTTGATCACATTGGCCTTGTGCACAGTAGCCAGATGGCTCTACCCTGAGCTACGTCTCTAGCCCTGATATGTGCCTTTAGGGAACTAGTCAATGTAGAAAGAAAAGAAACACATTTTCACGAAAAGTAGTGTGCTTGTGGGCACTGATTGTATAGTCAGATAGATTTAGGTCCCATTTTGGATCTGTTTTTGTTTTTAAACATTTTTATATAGTGTGTGTGCATGCAGAAGCATGCCTGTAGAGGTCGGAGGACAACTCTCAGGAGCTGGTTCTTTCCTTCCACCATGTGAGTCCTGAGGATCGAATTGGGTCTTTGGGCTTGGTAGCAGATACCTTTGCCCTCTGAGCTGTCTCACCATTTCCTGGCTCTGTTTTTTTTTCAAAAATATGTTTATTATTACTACTGCTACTACTATTGTTGAGTATGCATGTTGCACGCATGTGCTTGCGCGTGTGTGTGCCATAGTATGTATAGTAGTCAGAGGGCAGCCTTGTGACGTTAGTTCTTTTCTACCTCTACATGGGTTTTGGGGCTAGAACTTAAATTGCCAGGCTTTTGTGACAATGGTTCTTACTTGTTGAGCCATTTTGCTGGCCCTGTGGCTTTTTAAAAAAATTATCTATCTATCTATCTATCTATCTATCTATCTATCTATCTATCTATCTATCTATATTTTATGTGTTTTGTGTTTTACCTGCATGGATGATTGTATGCGGGTGTCAAATCACTTAGAGCTGGATTATAAACAGTTGTGAGATGCCATGTGGGTGTTGGGAATTGAACCCAGCTCCTCTGGAAGAACAGCCAGTGCTCTTAACCACTGAGCCATCTCTCTAGCCCCCATCTTTTCTCTTTCTTTCTTTCTTTCTTTCTTTCTTTCTTTCTTTCTTTCTTTCCTTCCTTCCTTCCTTCTTTCTCTCTTTCTCTCTCTCTCTCTCAGGTATTCCACAGGAGAACATGTTATAAATGAAGACCTCACACCCCACTCCATAGATTGCAGTTTTGGAAGTTTAACTAGTTTTGAGGAGGTTCTGATGTAAGCGTAAGTCTATGTTCCATTGCCCTGTGGGGTGATGTTGAGGATTTAGTATGATAATAATATATATAAATGATTTATCACTTTCAAAGTGATAAGTTCAATAAATGGTAGCTATTATTTAACCAGTAACATTGTATGAGGAGTTAAAGGTGAGTGGGGACCAGGGTGAAGGCTAGTGTGGCTGGGACAAGCTAAAGCAATCTTCTTGTTCATGTTGGGCTGAGTCAGGTTCTTTGCAGTGTTGTTTGGGTGGCAGTGCCTCTTCCCTAGTCCCTCTCCTCTTGAGTTCTCAGATTCCGACCTGTCCACCAGTCCGAACCAGAGTTGATCAAGGATAATGAGTTATATACCAACTGCCCCAGCAGTGGCCAGGCTGTCTTGGTGGTGACAGTGGGAGTTGTCAGACACAGACCCGATTACCACCACATCCTGTTCACAGTTTCCTTTTCTGCATGTGGGTACTGGTTTGTGTTTCATAGTAAGGGACTGTAGGGACTCGGGAATCAGGTGCTGGGGAAGAGGGGAGTGCTGGGCTGCCAGCCCCAGCAGCGGCCTTGCTACACTAGCCCTGACTCGTCCCAGAGGAACTTGGTGAGCCTCTCAGCCATGAGTTAGAGGGATATGGCCGTCTCTAGACTGAGTGCTTTCTTAGAGAGGATTCCTATGTGAGACAATAAACCACGTCTGCGTTATAGGCATGTGATGTCAAGGGAAGATTTGGCTTAAGCATCTAGAATGAGATCATTGGGAAAATTAGAACATTGCTTAGAAGTGGTACTTTTGTCATGTTCCCTGGCTCTATAAGCCTTATATCTAAACTTTAGACAGTAAATAAATATTGAATACTTGCTGTGCCTGGGGCAGCATTCCAGAGATGTATCAGTTCTGCAGAAGGTGGACTAGCAGGCTCCACAGAACCTTCTTACCTGCACAGAAAGAATCCAGGTCTGGGGCTGGTGATAACCCAGACTATCAGAAAGCTTTTCTACTTCCGCCTATCTGCAGAGCAAGACAGGAAGGCTTGTGTGCACCCCAACCCGGCTCATACATAGCACAGCTTAAGTGTCTTGGTAGTACATGTGTGCATTCTTTTGGTGAGCCATTTCTCTGTGCTTCCCAGGGGCAGGTACTGCATTAGGTTCTAGAAAAAAGCTGGATGGATCATGGACTGAGACCAAGTAACCATGGAATAAATGTCCTGTTGTTCAGAGGTCATAGGGGTGGTTTGAACAGGAACGGCAGTAACCGGTCAAGTGTTCCAGCCCTGTTACCCGAGGCCTCCCAGCCAGAGGGGATGGCATGTGCAAAAACATGGAGTGCTGAAATGGAGGACGAGTCTCAGGAATACTGAGCAGGGTTATGTCACTGCTACAAGTTTCCCTTCCAGGCTCGAGGAAAGGAAGCCCAGGGGGTGTGTACTTGGAGGTGGGCTAGAATGAGACGCATATATTTGCTTCCCAATATATATTTGGATGTGTTTGCTGCTCACCTCCTTTAGTGGCTCTGTGCTTTTTGAAGAGTTGTCAAGAGGCTACAAGTATGTTCTTGCTCCCCTACTGTGCCCTGTGCTAAGGCAACAGTAAGATGTGTGCAAGGGATGTTTCAG